CTTGGTGGTGTTTGCTGAATCGGCATTGACTGTGCTGGGTTGGCCACCAGTGGGTTTGGTAGAAACATCGCAGCAACCTGCTCCTGGGTCAACCGATTGATATTTTGTCCAACATGCTGTGGCTGTTCTCTGGTCAACAATCGAGGATTGGTTGTTTGCCTTGGTGCTGACGACGGTGCGGCTGGTGCAGGAGCCGAAACTGGTGCCGTCGGTTGAACTGGTGTTATGTTGGTAGCAGGCTGTTGGTTACCAGTTATCAAATATCTGTAATTTGGGAAGACACCTCCTGGAAGATAAACTGGTCCTGTAGCTTGATGCTTAGCTATTGTTCCATCGACCAAAAACTTCACCATGTTTGTTAAGGTATTAACCAGCACTCCCGATTGGTTGATCAAAGCATGTTGCACGGTGTAGTCTATCCAATCTTGGAAGTTGTTGAACTGCAATTGTTCTCTGTTGCTATCTTCACCAAGATCCTCAACCAAGCCATCCTGGAGCCCATCACCTTTGTCGCCCAATCCATCTGTAGTACCTTTGCTGCCTGAATCATCTGTGCTGACTTGAGTTTTTTGCACCTCACCATCTTTAGAAGGACCTGTTCCAGGGACATCAGCAACTAGCTTCAACTTGTATTTTTGAACAACTCTCCCTTGCCGAGTCTCTGTGAATGAATTCATGAATTGTTGTTGTGCGTTCTGCATCATTAGTTCAAATTCCTTTTTTGCTCTGGTGATAGCTTGCCAACAGTGACTGGAATAATATTCCCAGTATTAACCTCAGCCTCATTGGTTCCCGTAGGCTTTGGAATCTTGGTCTGAGGAGGGACCACAGTCTTTGTTGCTGATGATGGTGACTGTGGTGGTTTTTCAGCCATGAGAGAAAATTGTCGTAACTTGGTCCCACTGGGCTTGCCAAAAGCGTGTTGATGCGAAAAACATGAGGCCTGGGAGATCTGCTTAACTCCAGTGCAGGTCCAAAAATCTTGCCTTTGAGGTTCATGAGCGTGCCAATTGATTTGATCCTGCAATCAACAATAAACAAAGACAGGAAAATAGCAGTTAAATTCATAAACGATAGCCGATCGGCCAGTCGCCGATGACATATCATTTATCCTTGAGCCGATGTCATCTTTGCATCGATTGGCAGTCATGAATAAACAAGAAAGAACTAAATCTATTCAATCGGCTGTAGATATTAACGGTACATAATCCCTAAGTCGATATATATTTAAGTCAAGTGATTGGGATAGATTGATCGCCATGTCGAGACAGTATAAATCACTTAGATCGAAATATATATTAACAATGAAATTATAAGCGCTCATAGCATAGCCGATTAGATAGATTTAGCATGTATCGGCTAATACTCCGATACCACTCTATGTAAAGATATTAAAGCAAGTAATATATATCAAACGAGAAGCTTAATATACCTGAAAGCAAGAAGATCTCAATATAAAAGGCGGATCTAGCATATCAATTAAGCACATAAAATATAAGGCTAAATCAGGTAAGATCGGCTGAAATCTTGATACTACCCTATGAAAAATACACGTTCGTTGTAATGGGTGAATATTATTTTATTATTATTATTATTATTATTATTATTATTATTATTATTATTATTATTAATTATACAATTTAGCTAAAGTGAAAATCATTGTGAGAATTTGTTTGGATACTATTTTTAGAAAATCATGAGTTGTAATTAGGAGTCCGACTCTTATCTCATATTAGCATGCGAGTTTTTTAAAATGATTTCTTATACGATAACTGTTGTGTTTCTAAAAGCGCCCCAAGTTAGAATGTGAGTTCCTTTAAAATAATTTCTTATACGACTCCTTTTATATTTTAAAGAGCGAACGAGCTTAAAAACGGACTCAAACACATATATGTATTTTGATAAGCAAAACGAAATTTTTTAGCGTGTCACGTTAGATATACGGACACACGAGTATTAAACATAGACTAATAATAAAACAAATTACAGATTCAGCTTGGAAACTGCGAGACGAATTTATTAAGCCTAATTAATTCGTCATTGGTAAATGTTTACTGTAACACCACATTATCAAATCATGGAGCAATCAGATTTAAAAGATTCATATCGTAATTTACAAGTAATTAGTTTTTTTCTATATTTAATACTGTATATATCTGTCTAAATATTCGATAAGACTGGGTGGAAATTTTTTGTTTGGGAACTAATCCGGGCCTGACGCAATGCTGGTGCTCGCAGAAGAGCTCGGTGCGACGTGGCAACGATTAGGTGGAGACCCGACCAGAGCGCATGCATTGAGTAGAGGAACAGATGTGGATGTGTGTGTTCTTGCTATAAGGTAGTAAAAGTAAATATGTATTTAATTATTAGGGATGTTATCATAGAAAAATATGGTTAAATATATATATTTTGGAGATCACGTCGTTATCTTAAATGTTAAGGATTATATAACCAGAGGGAGTGTGGTTGTGTGTTGAAACTCATAAAGATAAAAATAAAATTGACGCACATAAAAAAATCATTAGTATATGATTAATTAAATTTTAATTATTATAAACTTCATAAATAGATATATTTTATATTTTAAAACAATTTTTTTAGAAAAAAATTTTATACAAAATGCACCGTTTAGTAGTTTGAAAAGTGTGCTAACAAAAACAATTATAAAATCTTAATCTTAACCTTAGTCTTCCTGAGCCAGTACTGTACATGGTTGGTACTGTTCATCGGGTTACTGTGCTCGCGCATGGAGGTCTGGAACGCAGATCTGGACAGTGGTTTGGTGGCTGTGTTTGTTAGGCTGACTCAAGGTGGCATTTGCATGTGGAAATTGAGTGGGCTGCATGGAACTTGATCAATTGGGCCATGCTACATGTCGAAGGCCAATGCAAGTAGCAAGGCAGCAGTTGTGTATCAATATTACTTTCTCCGTTTCACAACGTAAGACGTTCTAGCATTGTCCATATTCATATAGATGTTAATGAATCCAGGTATATATATATGTATCTAGATTCATTAACTTCTAAATGAATATGAGCAATGTTAGAAAGTCTTACAATCTAAAACGGAGGGAGTACTATATTAGGACTCGACGGAGGCAGTGCGCGGGTTGAGAAAAAAATGTTATAGTGGTAAATTTTTTGGTTTATTCAAGGTGATAATAAAATTCTCAAAGTATTAAGGATTCAGTCTAGATACAGACAGCGTGGATGATGGATTCATTAGCTCGATCCATAAGAAACCAAGCAAGAAAGGATTCTCTTCATGTTTGTTGAGTTTGATTTGTCTATTTGATGATGATATTAGTTATCTAGCTATGAATTAGATTAAGTCAAATTTAAAACGGGAGATAGATGCAAACATGGTCTTTAGGGAGTTTGGGATATACCAACTATAGGAGGAATCCAATTTTGCTTGGCAACACGACTGTGACGAGAGAAAAAAAGGTGGAGCACTGTTGTAGGTGGAGTTCGAAGGAAGACATTACAAGATAGCGGAGTCTCTTGATTACGGTGAGCGTAGTGCAGGCTTGTTGGGACTGCTCAGCGTGAGTAGTGAAAGGATCAACTCAAGTCCAGCTACACGAAAATTTGTGCAAGGGACAAATTCAGATTGACGAGGCATTTTCGTCAAAGTTGAGTTATGATATGCTGTAATTATGCTGGATCAGGGAAGAGTGTTCGTAATCAATGCTCTAGGAAAGTAGGCTTCGGTTAAACCTTATTAATAAATATGGTGTCTTGGTGTCATTATCGTGTTTGTATCTTCTATAGTGTTTCTTATGTGCTCGGTTACCAATGATGATTTTGGACCGGTTTTATAAGAAGGAACCGCATGAGCACGAAGCTGTGTGACAAAAAGCGATGGACCTGGCCGTACCTCATCCATAGTATATATTTTTTAGTTTACCTTTTCCTCCCTCGGTCAAATAATTATGGCCAACACGGGCTCTCAAGGAAGCAATATGTAGTACATACTTATGATTTCTGTAAATTAATTTTAGATTTCACTTAATTTACTTCCTAAAGAAAAGTAGTACTTTTAGTACTGACTCAAAAGTTACTTCTATTGCCCTGTACGTTTCAAATTACTTCGTCAGGCTTTGCACATTATACTTTTTAAAATCCTATTAGAGAGCTTTGTGTTTTAACTCCATACCATAAAGCTACTTCTTCTAATACTAGAACAAAGAGTTACTTTTGTTATCGTATTTAGTTACTTCTACAATTTATTTGAATTACTTTTAGATTTCACGCTGAACTTACTTCATGTAGCTTCATGTTTTACCTCTGCACTATGTAGCTAACCACCTGTATTGTTTACATAAAAACATTATAATATTATGACTCACTCTAAACATCTAAATATGATCCGTATATATGAAACATAATTATTTTCTTCGGGTATTGATATAGGGTGCATGCATGTGTAATCACGAACTTCAAGAAAATGTTTATGTAACTATCCCATCTAATCTACTTTTAATCCGCTAGATTGTTACATTTACGTTTTGAAGAACTACAATCAAATGAAGTTGAAAAAAAGTACTATGAAAAAGACAACAATTACAGAATTACTACTCAAATGGAATTGACAAAAAAAAGGGTGATCACAGTGTACATGCGACACGCAAGGAGCGGAACAAGAGGCCAATTAATGGTGGAAAATGGAAATGGCATCTACTAATCTCATGGTTTTTGGTGTGATCTTCAAGCTAGTGCACACTCTTCTCATATGGCACCGATGATTGGATTAGCTAGATGCAATTGACAAGCATATAGACTTTCGTTCAATAAAGGCCATCAACAAACCCAACTTCTAAGAAATATAATCGTATAAACTATTTTATCTTGGAAATGTCTTTGCCATCACTTTTATTCTGTTAGACGTCGTTAATTTTGTCAAAATGACCAAATTACCCTCCTGAAGACCTCCCATGACAAATTCTCTTCCCTTCCACCGCCAGCCATTCCTCTTCAATTTCTCCCCTCCACTTGAACTGCCGGCCACTCCCTCTTCCACCTCTTCTCGATTAATGCTAACATCTAGTTGTAACAAAAAAAAAAAGTAGCCCGGCCGTCATCATCGACAATGCCTATATATATCAGGCCGAGCTTTGGTAGCTGCAGAGATCTCAAAGCTATAGCGGCTATTTCATTTCCTCTTAGAGTATAGTTGCCGTCCATACTCCAAATACGTACTGCCTGATGGGATCGTCAGGGGCACCAGAGTTGACACATGAAATGAGCAGCAATCCTTGTGCCGGCGGGAGAGCAACAATCCTGGGAATCGGCACGGCCGTGCCGGTTCATGTTTATGAGCAGAAGTCATTCCCTGATTATTACTTTGAGATTACCGATAGCAATCACTTGGTCGACCTAAAAGCCAAGTTTGCAAACATCTGTAAGTGCATGCGAAATTACTACCATTTTGTATCTTTTCCCGATCGATGAACTTAATTAACAACCATAAATATATAGGTAGAAGCTAGCAGCCTCATCTTTTGGCTTATACTTATTCTTATAAGCCAAAATTTGAATTTCCAATCTTATATTTGGAGTTAATTTTGAGATTTTTCATCATAATTTATTCTTCAGCCTTTGCCGTTAGATCGCTAAGAACATGCATATAAAAGTTTTATTTACAAATTATTTTCCGTTTACAAATATACCGTTTCGCTTATTCCATCAATAAACGAAACGATGGAGACGATTTTCATGGTGCCCAAGCAATTATATAGCAATGGTTATTGCATTATTGCAAATCTAGGCGAGAAGACATCGACGGAGAAGCGGCACATGTACATCTCTGATGAGTGGCTGAGGGCCAACCCGTCGGTGACGGCGTACATGTCCACCTCGCTCAACGTACGGCAGCAGGTCGCCGAGGAGGGCATCCCTCGGCTCGGTGCGGAGGCGGCGCGCAAGGCCATTGACGACTGGGGGAAGCCGGCGTCGAGCATCACCCACATCGTCTTCGCCACCACCAGCACCGGCTGCCTGCCCAGCGCCGACGTCGTGCTCATCAAGCTCCTCGGCCTCCCGCTGTCGACCAAGCGTGTCATGCTCTACCAGGCTGGCTGCTTCGGAGGCACCACGGCGCTGCGTGTGGCCAAGGACATCGCCGAGAGCAACCACGGTGCCAGGGTGCTCGTGGTGACATCCGAGGTGATGTCGCTGGTCATCCGTGGCCCCTCCGAATCCCACATCGGCAACCTCGTCGGCCAAGCCGTGTTCGGCGACGCCGCGGGCGCCGTCGTGGTGGGGTGCTGCCCCACCGCCGACGAGCGTCGTCCCGTGTTCGAGTTGGTCCGGGCATCGCAGGACGTGATACCGGGGACGGACGACGCCGTGGTGGTGAAGGTGCGGCAGGAAGGGGTGGTGATCACCATGCACCGCGACGTGCCGCTCCACGTATCCAACGCCATCGGCGGCGTGGTCAAGAGCACGTTCCACGAGATAGACATGAAGATCACCAGCTACAACGAGGCATTCTGGCTGCTGCACGCCGGTGGGAGGGGGATCGTGGATGGCGTGGAGGAGAGGCTGGGCCTCGGCGGGGAGAAGCTGGCTGCGACGAGGGAGGTGATGAGGCAGTATGGCAACACGCGTAGCTCCACCATCTTCTTGGCGATGGAGGAGATGAAGAGGAGGTCGGAGGAGCGAGGGATGGCGACGGCGGGGGAAGGCCTCGAGTGGGGGATGCTCATCGCCTTTGGCCCCGGACTCACCTTGGAGACCATGCTGCTCCGTGCAGTGCCACGTAACAGCTAGCTATACATACGCCAACATGTGATATCGATCGACCGGTAACACGAATAAATTAAGCAGGGCAATCTACAAGTTATATTTTCCAGTGCGTACATGTTATATTTTCCAGTGTGTGACACCAGTAAAAATAAGTCTACATGTTATATTTTTCCAGTATAAGTGCGAATATTATGTTAATTGCTTCTTGATTGTTACTCCACGGTTAATTTAGTTGGTTTCGGAACCAGCTGAGTATGGAATAATGTTATACGTGATCAATTATAAGCTCTTACTCGATCATCTGGTCGGACGACAAACATTTCTAGCATGATCCATATTATGATTGGTTCGTCCCTAGTTGGAAAATGTGGTTCTGTTAATAATGTTCTGAAGCTTTGTTTTTTATTATCCATATTCGGTACATCACTAGAAAAAGAATAATAACTGAAAATGAAGTAAGATTACTCCACTGGTGGAGAAACCATCTTTCGTCGGTCGGCCGATTTCCACAATAGTCCCGGATGCAATAAAAACCGGGGCTAAAAATGATCTTTAGTCCCGGTTCAAAAGGGTAGCGGGCATATTTGATCTTTAGTCCCGGTTTGTGTTACCAACCGGGACTAAAGATCATCTTTAGTCCCGGTTCGAATGCTGTCAGGGCCTGTCAGGCCCCCCCGGGATCTTTAGTCCCGGTTTGTAACACCAACCGGGACTAAAGATCGTAACTTTAGTCCCGGTTGGTATTAGGACTAAAGATCCCGGTGATCTTTAGCCCCGGTTGGTGCTACCAACTGGGACTAAAGTCCCACCCCTATATATGTGTCTTCTTCCTCCTCCAGCTGCCCGAGCAAGCTTCAAAATTTCTTTAAAAAAGAGGGGAGGTCATGCCAAAATTTCTATTGAATTTATTTTGGTGATTACATACAAATCGGAGGTGCTTAAAAGGTTTGCAACTTCATCCTCCAATGTTTTTTTTTTGTCATACTACATTTGCACCTATGTTTTGCACACTTTTTTTGTCTCCAAAATTTAGTTGTAAGTTGATGAGAGAGAAAATGTGTGTGGGGAAGAAAGAATATATAGAAATTTAGTTCATTTGCTAAACAAGGTTTTATAAAATAGTTGAGAAGGAAAACTCTAGTGAAAGTTAATCTTAAATAATAGAAAACAAACTAAAATGAAAATTAAAAGAAGTAAGACACATTAAAATTAGTTTAAAACTTTACAAATAGTTTTTAAGAATTATTTGGTGTAATATTTTATGATTTTTGTATGAATAAAGATATCTTATAATTATTATATGACTGTCATTATTGTAAGAATAATTATTTGTGTACGGTTTTTTTTACTCATGTAGATGGATCAGCAATGGATGTACGCTGACCGGCGGTCCAAAGAGTTTATTGACGGCGTGCACTATTTTTTGAGAGTGGCCGAAGCTAACAGGCAAAGGGGTTTTATTTGTTGTCCATGCAATAAGTGTAAGAATCAGAAGGAGTATTCTGTATCCAGGACTATTCATTTCCACTTGTTTAAGTCGGGGTTCATGCCAAGCTATAATTGTTGGACATCCCACGGAGAGCAAGGTGTTGAAATGGAAGAAGATGAAGTGGAAGACGACAATATTCCGGACTTTGCTCAGTATGTTGGATTTGAAGGAAATCAAACGGGCGAGGAGGAAATAGCTGCTGATGGTAACGACGTTGCGGATGATCTTGGTCAGATGTTGCAGGACGTCAGGGAGGACTGCGAAAGTAAAAAGGAGGCCCATAAATTGGACAAGATGTTGGAGGACCACAGAACTTCGTTGTACCCAGGTTGCGAGCAGGGGCACAAAAAGTTGGATACCACTCTGGAGTTGTTGCAATAGAAGGCAAAAAAATGGGGTTAGTGACAAGGCATTTGGCGATTTATTGAAACTCGTCAAGAACATTCTTCTGGGGGGAAACAAATTGCCCGAGACAACGTACGAGGCTAAGAAGATAGTGGCAATTTCATATGTTAATTAGAGTTTTTAACATTTAATTTACTATCATTCATATGCTAATTATAATTGACTGGAGAATTTTTAAAAGTATTAAATTTAATATATTTTTAAAACTATCATTCATATATTAGAGTTTTTCACAATTTAATTTACTATCTTTCATATGCTACTTATATATGACTATTCGAATTTTTAAAAGGTTTAAATCATGCATGTGGCATTTACATATGTTAATTAGAGTTTTTAGCATTTAATTTAATATAATTCCTATGCTAAGTACATATGATGATTACAATTTTTATTAATTTTAAATCATGCAGTATGTACATACATATCTTAATTAGAGTTTTTACCAATATAATAATATCATTCATATATATGCTAAGTATATATGATTATTGGAATTTTTATTAATTATATTTGCTTATTACGATTTATCCACTTAATTTATTACAGACAAAAATAATTTTTCGAAGTAATTGTCATTAATCTTTGTACTTTAAATAATGTTAATGCATTAACTTCTATTTTATAAACACATATGTAAGCGAAAATCATATGCAGTGCTATAATCTTTAGTCCCGGTTCTTAACCCTAACCGGGTTTAAAAAGAATTTCGAAATAGCGGGAAAAGATATTTACTCCCGGTTGTTAAGAAAAACCGGGACTAAAGATATCTGTAGTCCCGGTTGTTCTCAACAACCGGGAGTAAATATCTTTTCTTTACTCCCGGTTGTTCTCAACAACCGGGACTAAAGATATCTTTAGTCCCGGTTGTTCTCAACAACCGGGAGTAAAGATCCGGGCGTATATATATTCCCGGTGCGCCCTCGTCTTCTTCACCAACACTTAGACGTTTTCGGCCGATCGATCTCTCTCGGCCTCTCTCCTTCGCCACGCCGCCGCTGCTTTCGCCGCCGCGCGCGCAATGCCGCCGCCGCCACGCCACGCCGCCGCCGCCGTCGCCACGCCGCCGCCGCCACCGCCGCCGCGCCAACCGCCGCCCCGATGCCGCCACACCGCCGTTAACGAACGAGAACAAGAACGATCGAACGAACGAGAGTGAGAACGAACATGTCAACGTACGTTGCCGCGAGAACGTGAACTAGAACGAGAACGATCGAACGAACGAGAGCGAGAACGAACACGTCAACGTACGTTGCCGCGAGAACGTGAACGAGAACGAGAACGATCGAACGAACGAGAGCGAGAACGAGAACGATCGAACGAAGACAAGCGAGAACGTGAATGAGAACGAGCGAACGAACGAGGACGAACGTTAACGTGAAATGCAATATATATATATATATATATATATATATATATATATATTTGTTACTTCGCATTTATCCAAATACATCTTTTTGTATCTTGCAAAAAAGACGTGTTGTCGGAGTCGTCCGTCAAGCCTGAGTGGAAGAGCTAGCCCTAGAAGGAATTGGAGCAGGCAAGTGACGTAATAATATAAATGATTGTTATATTTGTAATGCAATTAATTAAGATTATTAGACCTGTAATTAGACTTATCATATAAGATTGTGTAGTGTTCTAATATTATTTGAGTTTTAATATAAGATTATTTTATTGCAAATTAGACTTAGTATGACATTATTGACTACGGAATTGGTGCGACTCCTATCAATTGACTATTGTAGTCTTAATTAGACTTAGCATATACGCACGAAACACTTAGCATACATGACTATTTTAGTCTTAACATGTAATATTATTTGAGTTTTAATATAAGATTACTTTATTTGTAATTAGACTTAGTATGTAATTATTGACTACGGAATTGGTGCGACAAGTAGCAATTGACTATTGTAGTCTTAATTAGACTTAGCATATACGCACGAAACACTTAGCATATACATGACTATTTTAGTCTTAGCATGCATGTAATATTATTTGAGTTTTAATATAAGATTATTTTATTTGTAATTAGACTTAGTATATAATTATTTACTAGCTAGGGTTGTATAATATACGTCACCTAGACTTAGCTTATATCATGATTTGTAATTAGACTTAGCACGTAAGGTTGTGTAGGGTTCTAATGTACGACATTTACACTTAGCATACATGACTTAGATTGTTAAAACATAAATGTCTCGTAACTTAGCAGATGTTTCTTGTATCAACAGATGGCTGACCGCGATGAGGAACAGATATTGTACGATACAATCGCGGAGGGAAGCAGCCAGTACTGGAATGAAGAAGAGGGGAACGAGGATCCAAACCAGTACTTGAACGAGGAAGGGAACGTGGAGAGGGATGCGGAGGGGAACCAGCAGGGGCACGTGGAAAGGGATGTGGAGGGGAACCAGGAGGAGGAGGCTAGTGGTAGTCAACCCTCCGTTGGACAGAACAGGGCACGCGGGCAACGAGGTGCAGCGAAGAAGCTTGAGGGTCAGCACATCATAACGGAAGTGGAAGAAGATGGACGTCCTAGTGCCCCGGCCGAAGCCGCCAAGAACTATGTACGTCACAGCGGTTGGGTTGTGCGGGATAACGTGCCTGTCAGTACGGTGTACTGGTGAAGAACAAGGGCACGCGGAGATCATGAGAGCTTTGTCCCAGATTCGGAGAAAGAGATGCTGTGGACCACAATGCTCGAGACATTCACCCTTCCTGCGGGTACAGAGGACAAAGTGAAAAGGTGGACTCTGAAGAAAATGGCAGAACAGTTTCAGAGCTTCAAGGGAGATCTGTACCGGAAGTATATACTGAAGGGGCAGACACCGAACTTCGACACATTCCCAAAGCTAAGGGATCACTGGGACGAGTTCGTTGCATATAAGACAGGTGAACAAGGGCAGGCGATGATGGAAAGAAACAAAGAAAATGCCGCCAAGAAGAAGTACCATCACCACTTGGGGTCAGGAGGCTATAGCGTCGCGATGCCGAAGTGGGAGCAGATGGAGGCTAGCTTGATTGAGAGGGGTATCGAACCGGCAACAGCCAATTGGCCGGAACGATCGAAGTTCTGGTACTATGCTCACGGTGGAACGCTCAACCCAGCTGATGGCTCACTGGTCTTCGGCGATCAGATACGAGAGGCTGCGCGACGACTAACAGATGCAGTGGAAGCCTCCTCTCAGGGCACGTTCCGACCAGACAGAGATAGGGACGAGCTGACACTCGCCCTGCAGACTCCAGAGCATCCAGGACGAACACGAGGGAAAGGGGTGATTCCTTGGAAGATTGGTTTCAAGGAGGACATCCACACGTACAGGAGTCGGATGAGGAGCAAGAGAGATACCGAGGCGAAGATTGCAGACCTAGAGTTCCGGGTATCGAGCTACGAACTCAACATGCAAGAGGAGGTGG